CTTACCAGCCATCTCTTTAATGTTATTGGATTAATGTTGAATTCACTGACCAGTTCGAGTTCGTGGAACATGTGCTCCATCAAATATAACATCTATAGGTTTATCAATACAAAATAATAGCGGAGATAAGGCACATAATTAAATATTTGTACAATAATTAGGATACAATATTATATAATGTTATATAATATACATTATACAGCATATAATCAGTCAATCGATGGCGCCGATATTCGTAACTTAATTTTGCATGTCTTGGCAATATTTATACAAAAAATTGTAACATAGGCCTACCTAACATGATATAATAATTATAGTAATATGCTATGATATGGATAATATAAGATGAGATGAGTTGAGATGTGATGAGATGAGATGCGATGAGATGAGACGCGATGGGATGAGATGAGATGAGATGAGATGAGATGCGATGAGATGCGATGCGATGAGATAAGATGCGATGAGATGCGATAAGAAAAGATGCGATGAGATGAGTTGAGAGGCGATGAAATGAGATGCGATGAGATGAGTTAAGATGCGATGAAATAAGATGAGATGAGATGAGATGCGATGAGATGAGATGAGATGTGATGAGAAGCGATGAGATGATGAGATTAGATGCGAAGAGATGAGATGAGATGCGATGAGATGAAATAAGGTAAGATATATGATATGATACAATATAATATCTAACATAATATATATCATATTATATTACATTATATTACACAATATAAAATTATATTGTATATTAGTATTAAATATTTACAGAAATATGATAAAATACCGGTACAAAATACTAGTTATTGTAAAACATTGATATTTATGATATACGGTAATATTATTACATAATGTTATTATACTACTTACTGTATAGTACAACATTATAAAATATATAGTGCGGGTCTCCCTCTAATTAAAGACACCCCCAAATTAACAAATGTTTGTTTTTTTTAAATATTCTAATTAGAGAAGAGACAAAAGCTGCTAAAAACCATGAAAACCCCAAAAGTTGACCTGAATAACATGACAATTTAGCAGAATATTCGGTAAAATATCTATACATTGAATGAATCAGCTTTTACTGGATGTGAGAATAAAACATCGTTAGAACTGAGACAATATGTTTAGATGCCTCAGATTAGAAACATAAACATACAGTCTGTTAATTGCGGGGGTATCCATGGTTACACGTTATATCACGTGACTCTATGGCATCAACGTTCATTAAGTCCCATATCATCCAATTGAACGATTTGTTACTTTGGTGCGCGGAGGAATAATTTGAGTTGATTATTTTATGATTTACCACGTAGGGGGTAGAGAAGTGGAAAGAGTAACCGAGCAAGTGAAAAAACAAAACGACACGTAGGCCTACGTAACCCTAATGTTCATATAAACACAGCTTGTAGCAAAGAGTATACAATGCAAGAGGTTCTACTGCCCTAATTTTGTACGCACGAAATGAAACGTTAAAAACAAAGATCTTATAAACAGCAGAACAGGAACCATCTCAGATCCACGGCAACAGATAGGACGCCCTCTTCCAAAGCTGAATACTTTTTCTCTTTGGTCAAAGATCTTATAAACACAAGATAGCGTTCTCCGCGATTTACGCGTGCAAATTCTGTAATAAGGCATGAATGGCGCCCTCTTGCTAAAAAG